AGTTGTGATAGATTGACGTATCCAAATTCTTTTGCAGATGCTTCCCTCTCAAACTGCACGAAGCCATAACCTTTAGACCGGCCAGAAGCATCCGTAGCAACCTTGCAATATAGAATATTCCCAAAACACGGAAAGAGATGGAATAGAGCCTTGTGATAGATTGACGTATCCAAATTCTGCGTCATCAATCAAGAAATTACGACACTTAGAGGATAGGTAAAAATGCATAGATGCATAAATAACAGACTTTTCAATGCAAGAAAGAAAAAGATTAATCCTAAGCAAGAACAACATTATTAATGCAAGAACAAAACCACCATCCTATCCCTCCAAGACCAAACGCGACGAGTCCTATCAAACCCAAAACATAAATGACTAATCCTAAGAATGTGCAAGAAGAAACCAACCATTGTAACTGCTACCGTAGCCGTAACCAAGGGACTTCCCAGTTGCATGGTCGTGGCAAATTCGAACGGAAACGACTTGGGCAACGTCATTGAAGAGATCATAGTGCTGGTTATCGTCGATGTTCTCGTCAAGATCCCTGACATACAACGCCGTGTAAGACTTGGAAAACGTCTCTTCACTATCGTAAAAGTTAAGCCCCGAGCAAGTATTTATAACGAATTTCTGTTCGGAGTGGAGTTTCTAAATATTCTGTGACTTTATAGCTGTGAACTAGCTAGTAATTTTATTGTATATTTATAATATAAACATACGAACTAATTGTTAAATTAGATAATTATTAGAATATTTAACAGAAAATGAAATGATAAATAATAATTTTGAGAGAGAAAACAATAATAACTAACTTTCTAAGAGAATTAAGAGAATTCTATGCTAAATTTGTGGATTTATTTATTCATTATTACGTTAAATTTTCATTACTTTAAATAAAGCAATACGTTGAACAAAGTTAAAATTTTATTTATTTTTATTTTTATTTTTAAGTTCTATAAGAATTAAAATGATATTTTATATTACAATATGAATTAAAATATTCATTTATATTTTAAATACTTTTCCGTTAAAATGACTAAATTACATTGTAGGGACTTTGAGAAGAAGTAAAAAGGTATAGGTGTTTTCAGTGTATTTATTTGAATTAATATTTTTCAAATTAGTTTTTGAAATATATTTTAAAAATAATATTTGAAAATTTTATCAATTCCTAGAAGTTTCAGATACCAACTTCTAAATAGAATACTTTTAATGTATATAAATCATTTTACAGTCCTACTGCGATACATGATACCTTCTCATGTTATAGATATAAATTGTAATAGTTGGTTCAATTAGAATTTATATCTAAAGATAAATATTATAATAAAAAAAACTTAAAAATACAAACATCTTATTCATTTTAATTCATTTTAAATTGTAATAGTTGATGAAAATTAATATTTTAATTTTTTTACGTTATTCATTTTAATTCATTTTATGTTTTAACATAATTCTTTTATTAATAGTGATTAAATGTTGAATAAAAAAATTTAATTTATGTATTACCTTTCTTCTATTATTTAAACACTAGTAGGTTCTTCGTGGTCACTTCGAAAGTGTGTACAAAAAAATCTGAAATTTTTTTCAATGATAATATTCAAGAAATAGCACACTTTTTCTTTAACAAATATAGAAACAGTTTCATAACTTGTTAAAATATTTGAATTACTTAATTCGAGCATTTCGAATCGAAACACGTATCCTCATTTGTTAACAAGTATTTAACTCTCTTAATTTGTTATTAAATAAAAAATTAAGTTTAAGTTTAAATTTTATTTTAACTGATCTTGAACTCTATCTTATTTACAAATAAATATATCTGGAAATTTTATTTTATTCCATTTTTTTTAAACTTCATTTTATTCTAAATAAACACCTACGTTTTTAGTTTTATTCAGATTAATCTTTAAATTTTATCAATTTTCATAAATATTTTTTTAGAAAAAAATTATTTTAGCTGAATCACAGTATAAAAATTTGTACTATTAATAAATTTATTTTAAAATTAAAGTAAATTCGATGTTTAAAAACTCATATTTGAATTTTGCTACATCAATTCAAGACGGATAGATTCCAAATGCTACTCCTCAAACTTATAAAATTATTTTTTAAATAGAGAAGTATCACATTTGACAAATGAAATCAAATTGCTATAGTTTTAATAAACGGTAAATTTTTAGAGACATGATTAAAAACTACAATCAATTAAAATCTGTTTGTAAAAGTATAAATGGACCTTTTTTTTGTTACTTCATTTATTTCTAAGTTATTGTTTTTACTATATTTTAATTCAAACTTATTAGAAAAAAAAAACTGTTTATAAAAGATGGATAAGTTTCAAAGGTTAGGATGAAACTAGAATTCTAGATATTGATTTCAAAAACAATAAGTGCAAGGATAAAAAAAATCCTTAAAATATATATTAAATAGAATGATGTTTGAGTTAATTAAAACAAAATTAAAATTTAAGGTGTCTATTTTTTAAAAAACATATTTAGGAAGGTTCTTTTTTCCTAAAAACTACACCAGTTAGTTTTCTCTTATATTGTTCGCAAATGTTTATGCTTACTCGTGCAAAAGAAAACTGATATTTTTCCTCAGTAATGATGTCTGACGTTAGCACGATCGAAAACTAGAAACTCGTATGTGCATCTAAGATGTGATGTATAAAAGAAACAATTTTTATTTTATTCCTATTCTTCAATGTTAATATATTACTAAGATTTTTTTGAAAAGAATAATAAAGAAATAATGGTAGACGTTAAGTGATGTCTTGCACGTCTAAATAATTCAACATAACATCCTTAGTTGTGGGAGTGTAAGTGCACGGTATATGCCACTACACATAGCCAGCAACTTTTTCTAACATATACAGTTCATCTTTTTAAATTAAAATGTTATAAAATAAGATTTTAAAATTAAAAAAGAATAATTAAAATGTGTCTTAAATTTCCAATCCTAGAATGCGTTATGTTATAATAATGTTTGTAAACCATTATATTTTATACATAAAAAAAAACTATATGGATTTTGTTATAACTATTTTTAACTCATATCAATGATATTTTTAATTGATTGCTAAAAAATTATACTCACGTTTTGTAGCATCCTAAAAATACAGTGTAAAACCATATAAAGAATAATCACATGTTAACAATACTACAAATCAGTTTAACGCTTGTCTAAATATAATTACACCTGAACGACCTCACATAACAGCAGAAACTAACGCTAGTTATCACTACTCTAAGTGTCACTAGACCGAACGTTAAACAAAAGGAACTCATACCGAACGGTCTTACAAAATATAAAGCTAATATCAGACCGAACGTCCCTAAGGTTCGTCCTTCACTTCCTCAGTGTCTTCCAATACTTCTTCCAGAAGATCTTCTTCTTCTGCTCACATCCACACGGATGATCATTGCAACATGACAACGACAGGACGTACAAGACAAAAATGATAAACAGGGTAAACTTATGTAATTTAATTTATTCAATCACAACATACAACATTCATAACAAAACCAACAACGACCACATCATAATTCATACATCGATGCATGCAAATAACGACCACATGACTTTGATTGTCCGGACTGTATGAATCCTGTGTAGCTACGACGTTCGTGCACCCGGATGATGTAGTAACTGGGATACCCTTAACAGTTGTCACCCGAGGTTGATCCGTTCCGTCCAAGTTAACCTTATGGACTAGGATCTCCTGTCATTCCCACACGTGACTTACTCCTCTCTACATGAGAACGAGTAATCATGGAATATCAGGATGAACGCCCGCTAAGTTTTGCCCACATTCATACTTTACCAATCAATAACCACTTTCTGAGATATTCCTCCCTATAATACTCGTTCATAATCAAACTATTTCATACACGTCACATTTCAAATTCTCTCATACTTTATCATCCACATATTCAAATGAAATAAGATCATACGTTCTTATCATAGCCCAAGTACGACTGGTATAACGCTTCTTAGAGGGTTGCATGCAAGACTTGAACAAACGTACTAGAGAGAAGGAGACTCACCAACTCAGAATCATAAACTGATCGGTTTAAATGGAAGCTCTTGATGCTGGGAGTGTTCCAGCGGTGCCTGAGAGGTGATCGGAAGAAGAAATTGTGAGGTTTTCTTAGAGAGAAGGAGGAGATTTTAGAGACAAGGAAGAGAAAAGAGTTTCAGCAGTTTGGAGAAGAAGAAAGACATGCAGAGAAGTGACACGTTATTTGAAATTTGGCCTTAAATACTGGCGTCACCCAAGACGAATAGCCACTCTCATGCAACCACGTGTTTTCCACTAACTGAGACGCTCACTCACTTTTTGGCACATAGATCCCACTACTTGGGGTTTTTTTTTGTGTATTTTAATGGAGTCTGACAAATCGAACTAACACAATCTATTGTCCAAATTTGAAAAAGAGTGATCAGTCACGGTTAAAATCAACTAATCATTTAATTAATTTACACTATAAATACAAAATCAAAATATAATTATTGAAACTTTTACTCTATATTTACTATAATATTAATTGTTTAACCGATTAAACTTAACGTAAAAATATCTTGAACAAATACTTATGATCAAATCCTATACCCCCAAACAATTACAAACGATTTCGTGTAATAGATTCTCATGACGAAACACTAAAACCGATGTATTTTTTTAAAGACAACTTGACATTCTCCTTAATAAAATATGAGATTGAAAACCTATAACTATTGGTTTGGTTATATTTATAATTTGCTCCTCGTAACATTGCATCAACACAGGCTAAGGTGTAAAGCATTTGCAAATTACACAGTTAAGGATAAATAATTACGATAAATTGTAGCATACACACAGTATCGTACTTGCGAAATGAATACAGATAGAAAAAAATTAAAAGTGACTGACTAATAGCAAGAGAAATGTATACATAATTTAAACAGTTTTGAAATATTTGAAAAAAAAAACAAAGAAATGACCTAGGAGTGGAGAGTGGGTGATTAAAATGAGAGAAATCGTAAAGGTATGATAAATATAACTAATTTTTGTACAATTAAAAAGTATGAAACGAAGAGAAGAAAAGTGATAGATTAGTAAATATGTATAGTGTTAAAAGGGAGAAAAAAAGAAAAAGAAAAAGAATTAAACAGCGGGTGCAGACAACTTCCCAGCTTGGTCCAAGACAACGAGAAACTCGGCCCTGCTCCTGACGATCCTGTGAAAGACTTCCCTAATCTGCTGCTGCATGGGTTCCAAGCCTTGGTCCATTTTCTTACAAATTTCGGCCAAGTCCTCAACGTTCCTCTTCATTTCATCCAAACGCTCCGTTTCGGGGGGAAACTGAAAGGAGTCAGCGAACTCGATCAGCGACTGTCCCAACTTCTCCATCCTATGCATCTCCTCCAACAATCCCACGTTACCCTTCTTCTCCTTCTTCTTCCACTCCTCAGCAATCTTCTCCTGCAAACCGATCAAGGGCTGGGCCCAGTTCAATTGCCTCGGTAAGGGAAAGTGCGTCCCCAACCCATTCCTCTCCTGGCATGGAACCGCTGCCACAAAAGCCCACATCACGAACACCAGCACGGTGCTCATTATGTAAACAGGCTGCGCCAATCCCGACGACTCTGCGCCGCGAGGCGCCGCCAGATTCGACATCATCGCGTGGATCTGCTTCGACGCCGACCAGTTCCGCGCCATCGTCCACGACAGCGCCCGCACCCAGTCCTTGCTGTTCGAGCCGGAGTTCCCGGAGCGCCGCCCGAAGGACCGGTTGCGCTCGGTCCCCTTCGCGTAGGCGTTGTCCTCGTGCAGCATGGCGGCGATGAGGGCGGAGAGCGCCTTCTTCGCGCGGCGGACCTGGCCGTCGCCCAGCGGCGTCACTTCGAGCGCGTCAACGACGATCTCGGCGAGGCGCTGGAGGTTCTTGACGGCGTCGAGGCCGAGCACGACGGCGTTGCAGACGTCGAGGGATTTGACGAAGCGGTCGAGGAGCTCTGGGAGGAGCTTGTCGAGCGGCGGCTTGGCGATCTGGGAGGGGTCGCGGCCCATGAGCAGGACGGCTTTGAACTCTGCCTCGATGCAGAGGAGCTCGTCGAGGAGGCGGCGGAGCCAGGAGATGGAGAGGAGGGCGTCGCCGGAGGAGTCCTCGGTGGTGGTGGAGAAGAGTTCGGAGAAGCGGTCTCCGACGTGCTTCTGAAAAAGTTCGAGGTCTTCCATTTCTTGGTCGTGGGTTCCATCCATGGACATGACTTGATTTCTACGTATGCTTATTCGGCCCAGAAACGAGCCTTGGTTCTCTGTTGTTGCAGGCATTCTCTGGTTTTGGTTTTGGAGTGGATGAGGGGTCAATGTAGAAAATAGGAAGAAGAATAAAAGGAAGAAGTCAATGGGGGATAGAGCGTCAGTTTTGGAAGTTATTTATGCTGAGTTTTAAGCCTCACACCTTTTTTTATTTCTTTTCTTTTTTTAGTCCCTCGTCTCTTCTTTCTTTTCTCTCTTCCTCGTTCCCTGTTTTTTCCCACACTGTCCCTCTCTATTCCCCCACAATTACAACACTAAAACTGGAACCATTTATTACTCACCGTTACAATTTTTATTTCTCAAATCAACGTCTCATTTTACACCTGTCACTGAAAGCAACCTAGATAATAATCAATTACGGTTCTATTTCCCTCACTCCATCTATTCAACTTCGTTCACTTCACTCTTTTTTCATTTTTGTTTATATAATAATTTCATTTGTTGTGAAAATAGAGTACCCATATACATAAAATTGTAATAATTTTAGAAGGAGCAGAATTATCATGGAATAATTAATTAGTTACCCTTTATAAATATTCTATTTGGAGTTAAACTCTGGTGGTTGTAATGTATAATATTTACAAGTGATTGAAAGTTTCAACAATGGATATTTTTATGAATGTGACTCAACTTAATTAGAAGACCAACTAATCCTCGTATAAAAGAATTAAACCAATTAATGCTTAAAATATTAAACTAGGTATGTGACATCACCACCACTAATGAAATCAGAATATATCAAAGTAATTGACAATCCTTCTGTTCCTGAAGTGATGTGAGGAATTTTAAAAGTAAAGAGTATGAAAAGTTATAGTTTTATCCATTCTTATTTACATGCATGTTAATACGTGATTAATGTTTTCAAAAGTAGGTAATAAAGAGGGGAAGTTCGCGCATAGAATTTACATTGCATTTGCGTATCTCATAAATCTTATAATATTTAATGCATTGAAATTAAATGGAGGTTGTTTTAAATTTACTTATTTTTTAAATATTTTGTTTGAATAAAGTAATTTTAAAATATTGAAATTATTTTTTAATTTAAATGAACTATTTTAATTATTATCAAATAAAAAATTTAATCGTTATATACTTATTATTACTAAAAGTATCATTATTTAGAATTTAGTTTTAGGATTAGCATTTTTTAATTGATTTTGATTCGTTTTTTCTTTTGTTAAAATTGATTAATAAAATATTTATATTAATAAATAAAATTCTATACTGACGTCAGTTTAAATGATTGTTAATCGATTTTGATGGTAATTATTTAGATTGTAAAATTCTATTTATGACATTGTTAGTTGAATTTTACTTGCGTTAACTTTTTATAAATGTAAGTTAAATTTTTTCTCAGTTAGTATTAATAATAATAAAAAAGTTCATTTTCAATGTTAATTGAAAGTCTTTACAGTTAACATTAGAATAAAAAATTCTAATAAATTATTGATAAAAGAAAATAATAATATTGATATTTTTGGTAAAAAAAATGTAAATATTTAAAAAAAAATCATGACAAACTTCAATAGAATTAATGTGGTTCATATTCATAAAAAAATCTCCACATTAGCCTTTAAAATCCTACTTAGTTTGAAATTTTTTTAACAATGTAATTAAAAAATAAATCCTATTAATATCTATGATAAATTATAATACCTATCAATTAAAAATTGAAAAATAATTGACTTACACTGTTCAAAAAATAATTTTAATTGACATTAGTTGAAAAATAATTTTGACTCAAATAAAAATAAATATAATTCACAAATTAAAAAATAAATCTTTAACCAAAACATATTGTTAATATTAAAATTCATGGGTCTTTACAGAAAAATCCATTAAACACCAATGAGATATAATCTAACAAATATAAGAAACTTATATCATTTTTAACCTAAAACTTTAACACAAATTTATGGATATTACTCAATTAAGATATTACACAAATTTATATCATTAAACACCAATGAGATATTACTCAATTTTTCTATTTCTACTAAACGTAAAAGTTAAACTTATATTTAAATTTTTAAAATTAAGATATTCAAATATTGTTAAGATAGCGATTATTTTACTCTTTGTCAAACCAACAATATTTGTACTAAAATAAATAAGATTATTGAAACTTTTAATGTCTAACGTTTTTTTATTAGGGTAGAGTTTAGATTTTTCTAATTTTAAATAATTAAATTATTCTAATGAAATTTCAAAATTTTAATTTCTTGTATAATTTATTATTCATACGTAATGATTTTGAAGAATTTTATCGGAACATGACATCAGGGATTGTACTCAGAATTATCCCGTTTCAACATTATTGTGTAAGAGATTAATGAATTTAGAAATATTTTTGTAGTAATCTTTAATTATTGTTATTTTTAACTGTTTGAACTGAAATCTTTTATGATAAAATCGTTTTAAGTATATTCAGTTTTAAATGTTTCTATTCTTTAATTTTTCCCATTTTATGCTTTCATAATGTTTAATTTATTCAATTGTTTGTCCCAAACGGGCTGTTTCTTTCATAATAGATACTTGTAAGAATTACTTTTACGCACGAAAACAATGTTATTCCTTTTTATTCTTGCATTATGTTTGAGTTTGTCAATAATGATGATGTCATTGGCGAGGTTATAGATATACAGAAAGTAATATAAGTAGATAATAAAGACTTCAAAGTTGGAAGCACACTTCGAGAAGTTCTTACAAATAATAAGAAAAAAAAAAGGATTTAATTACTCTTTTAATTTTCACTTTTGTTAGAAAGTTTTAAGTAGATATTTGTTTTTGAAAGAAAGTTTTAAGTAGAAATTTGTTTTTGAAAAGGTTTTAATTGTATCGCAATCTTAAAAAAATGTATAAGGGTTTTCTTTTTTAAATATTATCAACGGCATTAACGTACATGTGTGTATTTTTTTAAAAAAAAATTGTAAAAAAATGTTAGGACTAAATTGAATAAATTCAATGAAAATAGAAACAAAAATAGTATTTAAGTTAAAGAAAAAAAAATACTAAAATAAATGAAGAAGAAAATGAAGAAGTAGATGGGTTCATGCCTTATGGATCCATCATTTCATAATATTTTTTTTTTGTACATTCCGGATAGGGTATTTTGAAATTTTTACATTGATAAATACTCAATTCCAAATATATTTTGAATGAGTGTTATGAAAGATATTTTCTAATCATGAAATATTTTTTAAAGTTCAATCCCAAAAATATTTATATTTAAAATTGGATTTTCCAAAAGTTCCTTTTGAATCCGAAAATATATTCTAAAATAGTTATTTTGAAAATATATTTTGAAAATATATTTTGAATTGGATATTTCGAAAGATATTTTTAAAATTGATATTTTTATGAAATATCCAATTAAAAAATTAAAAGAGGTTCAAAGATTTCATTATATTTTTATTGAGAGTAGTTTGAGACTTTCAAGTTTTATAAGGGTGCAGAAAGAAAAAGGAAATGCAAAAAGAAATGTCCTATAAAATAAAGAAGAAAAAACCATGTAGATTAGACGATTTCTTCTTACAACCTTCTTTCTCTTCCTATGACGCCAAAATTTTGAAATCTCATATTTGTCCTTATTAAAGTTATTAAAAAAAATCTTCTCCTTATTTTACTTCTAATGGTTCATTATACTTATTCTTCTTAACAATGTATCTTGTCACAATGCATCTCATTTTCTTAGTGCTTGTTGTTTTGATGTGTAGTAAGAGCTTATCCATCAAAAGTTTTATTGATCTTAATAAAGAAAAATAGGTATGAGTTTTTAAAATATTTTGTAGCTTTTCTAGTAGGGTTCTGGCAAATGTGTGGTAATCAAGTATTAATTCCTAAGTTTGAGAATGTTAATCGAATTACAAAAATTAGAAGTTTAAAGTTGGTTGAATATCGAATTGAACTATCTGGTATGCATAATCGGATCTGAAAGATCATTTCATATTAGTTAATCCGGTTTGAAAAAGTGCATACCAGATTAAGTAATCTGATAAGTTCTCTTGTGTCGATAATAAATTATCAAATTGGGTAATCCGTTAATGCAGTATGAGTTTTTGACCTAAACCTTTTGTTCTTTTTGAAGGTGTTTAACGTGTTGGACATGAATAATTATTTTAGTAGAATATCAAATGAAGTTGAGCAAAGTTTATGCATGGAAGAATATGAAATATTAATGAGTGGAGATATGTTACATGAGGAGATTATAGTGGACAATTTATGACAAATGATATATTTGCCATGTGTGATTATTTACTTAAATGGATGCGAGATATTGCTTTGGTCTTAGTTTTTTTGTTGTCATTCTCAGTTATGACAAAACTAATAGACAATCTAAAGAAAGACATATTGCTATCAAGTGAACGAGAGAACAACTTCATATAGACTCTTTGAAGACTACACAATTGTTATTGAATTATGATGCATTGCCAAAAATTATTGTCAATGATAAAACTCGACTTTGGTTAATGTTATAAACATTATATTTCTTAAAGCTTACCATAATTGATTTCAAATCAATAATAATGTCAAAGAAAAATACAAGTTAGTGGATTTAAGTGAAACATAGAATGTTGTAATGAATGCATAAAACACTGTCATGGATTATGCAAATGAAGAGATATTTGATGAATTTATTTCTCGATTTCAAATAATTTGTTTTCTATGTCAATTACTTTTTAAGTATGTGAATAATACATGGATATTCTTAAGAAGAAAAAGTTTGTAGAGTTATAAATTGATAAAATTATGCATTTAAGGAACACAGTTTCAAATCGGTTTGTGACAGTTCTTTCATGGTTGAATGTACTATATTTGTAGGAGTGTTTCATCCTACACCTCCAACATCTCATCCTGCACTTCCAAAAATTTCATTTTTAACCTTGTGACATCCTGCACCTCCAACCTTTTTAACTTTCTTCTCTTTCTTATTAAAGATATTTTAATAACTATCTTTTTATTTTCTTCTCTTTTTTATTAAAGACACTCTACACCACCTTAAAATTAATTTTAATTTAATTTAAAATTTAAATATTATTTAATATAATTTTATATTTTAATAATTATTAAAATATGATTTATATTATAATAATAGCTATATTAAAAAAGTAAAAATAAAATAATTAAAATAAAAATAAAAATAAAATAATAATAATAATATAAAA